GCCCAGGTCCCACAGCTGAAGCTCCATGACACGGAAACGGTGGATTTCAGGCCTCTGTCAAGAGAAGGTAGGAAGGTAGGAAGCACACAAGGTAGGAAGCTGAGCAAACATGGGAAAGGTGTTCAAAAGACGCAGGGCAGTGACAGAGTTAGACACACTAAGCTCTCTAAAGCCATGAGTCCTAAAACCACTTTCCACATGGACTTGTCAAAACCTGCTTCCAAATTTGTCTTCCAGAATCTTGTAAGAAAATACTTGGTTTTGCCCCGCTGTTGCCTATTCATGCTATTTTTTCTACCACAATGACAACATCACCTGTGACAGGCAGGCACATGGAAGAGTCACATGCCTCTCTGGCTTGGTGCCTAGGCATCACTTGGCTTTTTCTCCTCTGCCCTGTTGTGTCTGTCCAGCTGTAAAGATTGTCATTTGCTCCTCTCACCACTCAGAACTTTCTATATCATCCTACATGAGTATATTCAAAAGGCTTTGTGAAATTATGGGTAAGATAAAATACATGTGGTTAGGAAAAAAAAATCAATGAAGAAACTACAGCACCCTTTGATTCACAGACCTGGTGGTTTTTGCAGGGACCACAGGGAATAATGTGCAGCACTGGGTCAATTTGCAAAATGGTTAGAAAAGAACAAGAGTAAGCACCTACCATACAACTGCTTGCATCAGCTATTCTGCAGCAGGACTGTGTCATTTTTCTGAGGAATTTGTCACTTTTATTTTAACATGTAAATTATAGAGCAGTGTTACATGATAGCTTTTCAGAAATAATCTGAATCATTAAAAAGAAATTAAGAGGTTTACTGGAATCAATAAATTAGTTTCTCCATTTTATTGCTCTTATCTTTGCTATTTTGTTTTAACAGAATTTAATGATTTTCCAATAAGTAATTAACGATGGCCTACATAGAGGAGTAAATATTGCAGTATTCATTTTGAGATCGCCCCAAATCTCCTGGATTTGTCAGTTGTAGTCACTGAGTATGAATGAGTGGCTCTGAGAATATCATGGTGTAGATGACAATAGCACCTGTCTTCACAAGCTCTCAGATGACCTTATAAATGAGTCTTCTTATCCCCAGTACCGTGAGCCCAGAAGGAATCATTTTTAAATTCACCGACTGTGAGTGACCTGTGCTAATACTCTTTTTTTAAAATTTTTTTGGCGGTACCAGGGACTGAACTCAAGCCCGTTCACTTGCCAGGCAAGCACTTATTCTACTGAGCTATCTCCCCAGCTCTCTAATACTCATTCTTATCATAAACTAAGTAATCTGAGGTTTGTCTTCTTAGCATATGTGTTGTTATAAAACCCATGCCGGGACCTGTTTTTTGGGTTTTTTTTTTAATGTATTTGGTTGTCGTAGGATCTCATCACACAGCTTGGACTCATGGTAATCCTCCTGTCTTCAGCCTCCCCAGCCCCGGGATTATAGATGTGTGTCATTATGCCGGGACTCAGCTGCCAGCTCAGCATGCCCGGGGGAGGGGGCTTGTATGGCACGAGTGGCTGGGAATGGAACCGTGGTCCCTGCACTCGCCTAAGCTTGCCTAGCTTAGGTCCCTGCTTTGGTCCCTGAGATATTTCTCTGGCCCCATACTTTTTTTTTTTTTTTTTTAGAAGCCTGCACTTCTTAATTTTTTAGATTAATTTTATCTACCTGGGAAAGTTGGAATTCAAGAATCATTCATAAATTGTTTAAAGATAAAATTATTCCAGGAGGTAATCCAAAGTGTTGAAAACACTAGATGACACCTGGTTATCTATTCATCACTTTGTCTGGAGAAGCCACAGGCTTATTGTCACTGATTGTATAATGAAGCAGATTCAAAATTTTTTGCATGCACAGCAGCCGGCCGAAGCATCTGGGTCTGAGCGCAGACGTACTGTGCTGGGCTTGAAATGCGGTTAGGCTGCTTCCACCGCCACCTTATGAGAACACGGGGTGCCTGGCAGGCTCCCCATTTAGGGGTTTCAGTGAAGAATTTGTTTTGTGCGGGGTTTTTTCCCCTTTGACTTATACTTTTTTATTCTTTAAAAAAGTTTTTATAACAGTGGCTGACTGTACATGTTAACTGGATTTCAATGTGATACTGCCTCAAATGGATACAGTCTGCACTGATCAAATCCAGCACACCTTTTCCCACACCTTCATACTCTACAAAAATTCTAATAATCACTATTCCATTTTTTGATCAACATTTTCAGCTTCCATAAGTTATCAGAAAACACACAAATAATATTGATTATAATAATCGTTACACAGGCCCCTATCTGATCACAATGGATTAAGAAATAAAAAAAAAAAATGTAGTTCTTGCCTAGAAATTCAGAATGAATGAAAAGTGGCCACATAAAATAAAGCAAACAGTCATTCAGTGAATAATTTGAATCCTTAAGTACGCTCTAGATATAAATGTAATACAGACCGAGTGTCTCAAATGTAAAAACCCAAAATCTTAAATTCTCCAAGATTCAAAACTTTTGATTTGACACCACAAGCAGAAAATTCACACTTAACTTCACTTGACAGGGCATGTACAAAATGCAGGCACATTAAAATATTCTATAAAATTACCTTCATGGGGCTGGGGAGATAGCTCAGTAGGATAAGCGCTTGCCTGGCAAGTGCAAGAATCTGAGTTCAATCCCTGGTTCTGCCAAAAAAAAAATTACCTTCATGCTATGTGCTTAAAATGCAGAGGAAATAAATAAATTTTATGTTTGAGCCTGGGTTTTCTACTTAAGAGTTCTCAAATGTCCCCAAATATGAAAGCATCTGGACTTTGACACACTTCTAATTCCAAGCATTAAAGATGAGGAATACTAATCTCTTTTATCTCAAGGAGCTACAGCCTGTGCTGAGAACAGGACACAAACTAAGATTATATAACTGGGATTGTCCTGGTAACTTTTCTCATTGCTGGACAAAATATCCAACACTAAAAATTAAGGGAGCAAAGGTATTTAGCTCATAGTCTGTTGAAGCTTCAATCCATAATCGGCTGGCTCCAAGGCAGGGTGGCACGACAGACAGGCACTGCAGAGGAAATGCTCATGGTGGGAAGAAGGCAGTAAAGCAACAAAGGACCGCCACAGCTCTTTCTATCTGCTCTGTCTTATCCAGGCTATGCAGGGTAGGTGGCACTCACACCCTTAATCCTAGTGTCCTACAGCCTCGCATTGCACCAAGAATCAATTCCAGCATCACACACTGTAGATCCAACCATCTCTGAAAAATCCCCACCTATGATCACCTGAGGCTTTGGGGGGACATCTAGGCAAAAACCATAACAGACACCAGGTCAAAGGTGGAATAAGCTTCTCCTTTGGTTGAAAATACTGTTTTTGCTGTACTCTATTCACATACAACCGTTCTTCAGTGGTTGATCCCCAAAATGTTGACATCTGGTTACACACACATGTGCCACCGAGCTGTCACTACCTGAAGCAGGCGATCAGCACAAGTGAACGTAGAATCTTCCAGAAGTCTAAGCCTCCGTGGACAGATGGGACAGTGAGTCCAGCTAGGTGATATGGTGGCAGAGTGACAGGCACTGTAGCACGGCCCTAAAGAGCCCTGCTTAGGGTCCTTGAAATGACCTAGCTGAACTCTTCCTAAGCACAGACTGGGAAGTGAGGCTCACAGACCTGCGCTGGCTTGCTCAAAATCAAAGTTCAGCAGTGGACCCAGGCTGAGAGGACCTGGCTGGTCCAGGATGGAGCTGTCACCATGTGAGATAAAACTGTTATAGGTGACACCACATCTGTACCAACCAAGGGAACAACATGCTGTGTACAGGAAACCCAAATGTCAATTATTTGTCTTTTTTTTTTTTTTTTTAAACGTATTTCGTCCTGGGTGTACAGGGTCTCACTGCACAGATCGGACTTGTAGTGATCTTTCTGTTTCCAGCCTCCCAAGTGCTAGGATTACAGGCACGCACCACCACACCCAGTCTCAATCTCCATCTCAGCACACCCTGGGGGTGGGGCCAGCAAGGCTTGCCAGGGATTGAACCCCTGGTTGTTATGTTTGCCTAAGCAGGCGCTTTAGTCCACTGAGTTATCTGGCCAGCCCTATTCTGTCATTTTGGACTATTTACACTTTTTTCTTTTCTTTTCTTTCTTTCTTTTTTTTTTTTTTTTGCAGCCCCTGCACTTGCCAGGCAAGCGCTTATTCTACTGAGCCATCTCCCCGGCCCCCTATTCTGTCATTTTGATGAGCAGGAATAAAGTCACTTTGAAAATTTCAGATCCCACACCTAGATTTAATGTCTTACAAGATTTTAAAAGTGGGAAACAAAGGATATTTATTTCATTGCTTCAACTGTTTCTGTAAACCTGCTTGCATGGAGACATCACTGATAAGGACAGAATCCTCCTCAATCCTTCCATTGTATGTCTGGCTTCTGCGGTCCAGTTCTGCCATCCTGGCTGACTGCGCTTACCTCTAGTCACAGAAGAAGGGCTGCAAGGAAGCTACTTTAATCAAAAGAAAGTGGCTCTGCCTTTGTTATACAACCTCAATTTGAGCTGATGTGCTTGGTGGAGACAGGAAGTGCTGCACTGGGGAAAGTATCCGCTTTGAAGTAGAATTGGTCTAAGTTTAAATTCAGCCCTGTCTTTCATTACCTTTATGACCGTGGGCCATTTAACCACAAAGTTCCAGTTTCTGAATTTGTAAAGTACTAATTACTTCCTAACAGGGCTACTCAAGGGCAGAAATTTAACCAAGAACCCAAATCACATGGTACGCGGCCTGGGCCTTGGCAGGGACTTAAAAACAGGAATTATGATTTGTTTTGCTCTAACCCAGGAAAAATAGGAGCATAAAAGGGAAAAAACACTGACACCATCAGCGCTTCCATTCCTGATTTACGGTTATCAATGTGCACCCGCTAACTTCCCGGCACCCGCATATGCCACCAAGCTATCTCCCCAGCTCCGACAACTCCCAAGAATGAGAAAAAGAGGAAAGGCAACAAGGGAAAACAAAACATTTATTAAGAGGCATGAAAATGCATAAACTCATTTATAAATAAATGTAGTATAATTTACTCGTGAAAAAATAGCTAAAATCCATGAGCAAAACTGGATTTTATATTTGAATGATTACACATTTGATCTCCAATCATTTCCCCCCCGTCATGATCTATCAGCAGCAGCAATTTCATAGTGACTACAGAAACAGCCGTTACTCATAATCATCACCTGGGAAGAAAGTTTTCAAGAATGCTCTTTAAAATGAATCAGCGCAGGGGCCAGAGAGATAGCTCAGTTGAATAAGCGCTTGCCTGGCAAGTGCAAGGGCCTGAGTTCTAATCCCCAGTTCCACGGAAAAAAAAAAAAAAAAAAAGAATCAGTGCAAACGAATTCAAATTACAAGGATACAGTAAGATCTAGGCTTATCTTCAGAAAAGTAGAAAATAAAACTCCTAAACATTTATTCAATAAGAAATGACAAGGCAAACTACATTTTGATCAGTGAAAAATAATACACATGGGTATTATAAAACATTCTTAACCAGTGATTGCAATTATTACATTTATAAATGTTCATTCAAGTACTAATGTCCAAAAACATTCAAATTCTCATTAAAAGTCACACTACATGTAGACACACCTGGACGATGTTTCTTTTGATTTAGAAACACTTGTCAACAGGAGGCAAGTGACATTTAAAATACTGTTGTTGGTTTTATTTTGGCTGCAGATGATTTTTCACACTGCTTTTATCTGCAAGGACCTGGTGAACATCTCACAACAGCTCATTAAAAAGTCATTTCTCTAAAATGACTTCATTATTTCAGAAACAAACACCCTGAAACAGAAGATCAGCTTAGAAAATAATGGGGCAAAATCAGTTTTCTTTGGCAAGAAATTACTAATTCCTCACCCAATATTGGTTCGCTGTTACATACAAAGTATCAGAACACTTCGGTGTTTACCAACAAGCTATTTAACAAGCTGAAGAGATTTTATAAGCTATGCTACCACAATAGCAAGGAAAGGTTTATGTCGAAGTTGTGCTGAAATCAACGTCATCTGCTTGACTCCTGTTATTAACCAGTCTTCCTTCAAAGAGCTCCTTCCTAATTTTGGCCTGAATCTCAGGCATTAATAAAAGTTCCTTTATCTGTTTCACTTTGGACTTCAGACTGATCCGTTCTCGCTGCAAAACTTCATTAATTAAGTCTTGGGGTCCAATAGGTTTCTTGCCTAGGGGGAAAAATTTATATAACACATTTAAAGTACAAATGTCAATGAAAAACATTAAACACAGTACACTGATTTATCAAAATGAGGTTTAAAAAAAAACCTTTAAAATGTTGCCCACATTTTATAGAAAAGGTTGCATTTTGCCAAAAATATATCATTTACATAAAACATAAAATACTGGAAATGAAGATCAGTGCATAGCGACAACACGTAGAGGACAAACAGACATTACAGACGGAAGATAATTTTGACAGTGATCATTAAACTCTGCACTTGATAGCTGTGTGTGAGTTTGGCCTCAGGTAAAGTAGCCGAATGCCCTACATAACAGAACTGGCAGTGCTGCACCTGTGGCCGGGCCTCTCCCAGCCGCCCGGTCCAGGAGGCAGGTGGAACCCAAGTCCCCTCCCTTCCTGTTCACAGCTGAGGGCAAGAAAAACTGGGCCCATTCTTCTTCCATGAACGTCCTCTGCTAGTCCCAAGCACTCTGCTTCACTTCTGTTGTGTTTCAGAAATGCAAACACATCATCATCGGTGGTCACGAGCGTTAGGCTGTCTCCTCGGATGGGACAAGAGACATTTCAATAGCACACGGCAAGCCAGCGTCCAGGCTTAGCAGAGGGGAGGAGGGGCACTCCACAGAGCAGGGGGACCGGTCCTGGCTCATTTCCTGTTGTTACCAACGTCGCTGCCACTGCGATCAGCCTCTTCCGCCTTCCCAGAGCTCCCATCCCCAGGCTGCTTCTTGCTCTGGGTTTCCTCCAGGTACTGCTGCACAGCCTTGAGCACTGCACTCTCCACCAGCCTCTTACTCAGTCTCACTAGCTCAGCATCATCCGGCTCCCCGCCATTCTTGTCACCTACATTCCACAACAGAGAAGAGAGGTCACTGAGCTGGAATCCCATAGCAGCTCCAGCATGCAGGGGCCAGATGGTTCTGTTAGCTTAAAAGAGCAAGTGTCCTTCAGCCTGGCAAATTAGATCCTTGGCTCCAAGCAAAGTGGGCAACTGTTCATACGGCATGTGCAGAAGCAGGAACCTGCCTCCTATTCCCACAGACCGCAGGCTGCACTGTAGTTCATTAGTCCCAAGCTGAAAGTAACAGCCAAGCTAGCAATGCCAGAAGTTTCCCATTTCTACATGGAGGTTTTGTTTGTGTCTCAACCAGGGCGTATTGCTACTACTGCCGTGCATGCGTCTAGCGCTCTGGGCCTCACCTTGTCAATGTGCCTGGGACCCCCAGTTTCCTTCTCCCTCCCAAGGCCCCAGAGGAGGTAACCAAGGTTTAGCTACCATCTCATCACTCAGGATCACAAAATTTTCAAAGATTCAGCCTACAGATGGGTTGTTGTTAAACTCTCAGCACTCTCTTGAAGACAGCTACAAAGTTAAAGCTACTACCGCCAGCAAGTAGGATAAAATAAATTTGGAGAACTAACACTTCATTTTGGTGCTACCACTGCAGTAGAGGAACAGGAAATGCTTCAAGGAAGAGTTTGGATTGTGATGGCAAATTACCTGATGTGACTATTTCATGGGCACTTTGCTTCCCTGCTAGTGGTGGGCCATGTCTATGTACTGCAGCTCACAATGCCTGTTGCTATGAAGGTGCAGGTTCTGACTCATGTGCCTACTACTCATTCCCAGCCACTCTTGTTTCCCCCTGCACCAAGGAAAGGAAATGAGGGGTTCTTCCCCGTGTCCACACAGCACCCTGCCTCCCTGCATTGAGTTGTGGGCCCAGAAAGGTAGATGATTAGAGGCAAAGAGGTCATTAAATTCACACACACTCACATCAGAACCCTGTGGGAGACCACCCATGAGCTCCACAAGACCAAGGATGGCAACTGCAAGTCGAAGGGTGGAGCAAGCAGGCCCAAGGGGTGTGAACTGGAAGCCGGACACTTTCCTCTATCCTCACACACAGCAGGAATTGAAGACCAAAAGCAGATACACCAACAGCAAGACCCGACTCCCCATTGTCCCTATCGCTTGTCTGTAATGCACACTTGAGAACCATTCTGCTTATACCATCCCACCCTTCTTAGAGGCAGCTATGGAAAAGCAAGGATGGGGTAAGACCCATAGAGAGAGGCTGACAAGAGACAGCCTCCTAGACCCATGACCAGGAGTCTAAGAAGATCTGTAGTGTTTAGAATTAAGAGTAAACTTCAACTCACAGACCCTACGCACCACAATATGTGAAGATATTATGAGAAGGCAGACAAAAATATCACTCCTGATACTACTTCGGGGGGCAAGTTCAGGTTGTGTTCATTCGTATGAATGAACAAGTGCACTGCCTGTTACTTATAGGTGTTTACCTCAATCTCACAATGTAGCTTATGTGACACAGATGACACTTGCAACTATTTGTATAAATGGCTCTTCAAATTTAAAATGGGAAAAAGCATGTAAATGAAGAAGTACTATTTAAGTAGCTTTTAAAACACTGTAAATGGCTCCACAGCTGCCACTCTACTGTGTCTAGGCAACACGGGGGCTACTCTAGAACCTACTCACCTTTCTCCTTGGCAAAATAACAAGGTTGCATTTGACTCTAATTAAAAACTCAACCCTCAAGACCTCTCTTCAGTCCAGTATTATGTGTTTATGTGATTTCTACCAGTCCACAGTGAATGGCTTGTTACTACAGACAAGGGGAGATTTGAAATGAAAAATCGTCCCCAAAATGCTACTCTTCCTTCTGTCTTATTTCTGTCTGTGTTTTTACTATTATGCGGTCAACAAAGCTCAAGCTCATTGCCATCTTGAACGCCTTCCTTTCCTTCACCAACTCACTCTGTGACTATTAAGCCGTCAGTCTCGCTTCTGATGTCCCCTTCTTCAATGCTTCTGACATAATTCCCTTAGATTAATTTTTCTAAAATATCCCTTTCACTCTTCATTCAAAAGAGAAATAAGCCTGGCTCGACATCTTCCTTAAGAGCCCACCACTGCTGCACCTTGCTAACTTCCAATTTGTCTCCAGAAGACTCTGCAACATTGCCTCTTACGTGATGGCTCTTCCTTTCTCTCCCCAGTGAGAATCCCACCTGCTCCAGGAAGCCTTCCCTGAGTGGCCTCACCAGAAGTGGAGCGCCTCCCTTACAGTCCCACTACTCTAACTGAATGTGCAGTATGTGGCCACCGGGCCACCCATTCCAAAAGAGTGCACCAAGAATCCACTATGTGCTTGCAACTCTTCCAGCCTATAGGGATACAACAGGAGGTGGAGCAATCCAGGCTTGCTGCATTAACTCATTTACAAACGATGAGCACTACCTATTAAGGTACTTGCTGCATTGTAACGTTCAACAACTCGTGATCTGGTGTCTGTCCTGCTACAGCAACTGTGCCTCAGGCTTCTCCCTGCTCTTCCTTTCTGCCAACAGATGGACAATGTATTAGTCACAAAAAGAGCTCAAGAAATATTTGCTAGTCAAGTAAATTGTTGACTGAAATCTTTGAAAACAGTAGCAACATTTTTAAATGTTTCTAGCCTCCCATAAAAATAGCACACTATAGCCAGAAATTTAAATTTCATACTGTTTCAAACAAGAAAAGAGAATTTCAGAATAATTCAAATATCTGTATGTACATTGTGCATCTAGTTCAATGAACCGGGTCAGTATGACGAAGTTTAAGATGCAAGGGACAGATACCACCTACAAGAACTAATTATCTAGCTCAGTGATCAAAAATTAAATATGCTTGTAGTTGAATCTTTCAGCTCTGTCCTGGGCTCCAGTTTCTTAGGAGGATTTCTGCAAACCGTCCTTAATTTGTTAAAGTGAGTCCAGGGAAGAGATGCTAGGAAAACGTGATTACAGAGTCCTGCAAGAATGCCTGGTGCACCTCTGCACCAGCAAGAATCTGCTTTTTTGTGTTCCCATGTTTAGCAAACTTAATTGAACTTCATTAGAGAGAAGCAGTTTCAGATTAAAATTATGATGTATTTTTCTTCCACCTACCACTTCCATGAGGGCCTCTGCTCCTCACAGAATCTCTAAGACAAATGACCACATTCATTTTATCTGACGCCTAATTACCAACAGCACTCAACCAAAGGCTTTTGTTCATATTCCAACAAAAGGACACACAAAAATTCCCAATATGAGTATCCAACTCTTGATAAAAAATATTCTTTCTTTATTTACCTGTATGTCACACCTATTTAATAAACAACAGACTAACCTTTGTCTTCAACATTATTATTCTGGAAATCTCTCTAAAATATCCTCGATCAATTTCTTATGTGAACACTAAAAATACAAAATAAAAGTATGAAAATCTTTTAAATCCACTAAGTACACAATTGTCCCTAAAGGAAAAAACATAAGAAACTTCCCAACAAACTTCAAGTGAGAAATTCCAAGCTGGACATAGTGGGTACACCTGTAATCCTAGCACATGGGAGGCTGAGGCAGGAGGACTGCTGCAAGTTTAAGGCCAGCCTGGGCTATAAAGTGAGTTCAAGGACAGCCTGAACTACACAGTGAAACTCTGTGTAAGAAAAAAAGGAAAGAAGGAAGGAAGGAAGGAAGAGAAAGAGAGAGAGGGAAGTAGAGGAAAAGGAGAGAAAGAAGGTCAGTCCAAGTAAGCAACTGCATAGGAGAGCTGCTGGCACCCTAACTCCTGCTCTGTACTTCTGACTTTGCTCTGTATTACCCAAGAGCTTTGCTATCAGTTCAGTGCAAAGATAAGCATTTGGTGGTCATAAAAAGAAAACAAGTGATTTGTGGCAGCAAGAATATTTCCCACTTTCTAGGATAATTTACGGCCGGCATCCATTTGGCTCCGTTGTGCCGGGTGTGAGCTGACCCAACCAGAGGTCAGCCGAGTCACGTGACGGGCTCCAGGAGTTCCTCCCTCCTTATGGGAACAGAGAACTCTTGAGTCCCTAACCTGCTTCTCCTCAAATGTATGAATTATGTTTTCTTCAGAGGCAGCCAAACACCTAAAAGCATTTTTTTTTTTCTAAAAACTATGACTTTGCT